AACATTTTAATGAATAGCCTAATTGTTAAACTTGTCTAATTTAAACAACGTCCAGATACAAACGTCGAAAGGTGGGTACAGTTGCACGTTGACAAATAGGGCAATGCAAGCACAATCTCCTTTCTGAAAAACTTTTTCATTGAAAAACTGTGCAGAAGTCTTGATGTCAAAAGTTTTTTTTTTAAAAATGAGATTTGAAAATGTTTTCTGGTCTCATGTTCGAATATTCATGAACTATAACGACATGGTACCGGTACGTGTTAGGTTTAGAACGAATTTCAATTTTCATGGCCTGGGGGTCGTGATTGGTGAAGGTGTCTGTGATTAGCTCCGCCTTTAAATTCTAGGACACGCATAGTATTGTGTACGATGCACTTTCCGAATTGAAACCTTTTTCATTGGTTCTTGAGATGTTTACCGTCTGAACTTTTCTGAAGTTAGCACCAAACTAGTACAAGAGCATATACGTTAACACAGTTTAACATAAAGATTTTGACCCCGCACTGATATCCAGTTCGTATATTGTAACAGTAGACATTTAAGTTTCAGTCATTATCTCGACATCACAGTATAAAAATTTCCTTTCAGCTTTATTATTTCAAAAATCATAGTTACCCCTTAGCAACTGACACACCCAGCAACAGACACATCTAGCTACTGAAACACTAGCCATTGATACACCTAGAAACTGACACACCTAGCAACTGACACACCTAGCAACCGACAGGCCTGGCAACTGATACACCTAGCAACCGACACACCTAGCAACTGCTACACATAGCAACTGTCACATCTAGCTACTGATACATCTAGCAACTGATACACATAGCAACTGACACACCTAGCAACTGATACACCTAGCAACTGACACTCCTAGCAGCTGATAAACATAGAAACTTACACACCTAGCAACTGATACACCCAGCAACTGATACACATAGCAACTTACACACCTAGCAACTGATACACCTAGTAACTAACACAACTAGCTACTGATACATATAGAAACTGACACACCTAACAACTGACACACCTAGCAACTGACACACCTAGCAACTGACACACCTAGCAACTGACACACATATCAACTGATACACCTAGCAACTGACACACCTAGCAACTGACACACCTAGCAACTGACACACATAGAAACTGACTCACCTAGCAAGTGACACTCAAAGCAACTGATACACATAGCAATTGACACACCTAGTAACTAATACACCTAGCAACTGATACACCTAGCAACAGATACACATAGCAACTGATACACCTAGCAACTGATACACATAGCAACTGGCACTCCTAGCAACTGATACACGTAGCAACTGACACACCTAGCAACTGATACATCTGGAAACTGATACACATAGCAACTGACACACCTAGCAACTGATACACCTAGCAACTGACACTCCTAGCAACTGATACACATAGCAACTGACACACCTAGCAACTGACACCTAGCTACTGATACACCTAGCAACTGACACACCTAGCAACTGACATACCTAGCTATTGACACACCTAGCAACTGACACACATATCAACTGATACACCTAGCAACCGACATGCCCAGCCACTGACAGACCTAGCAATTGACACACCTAGCAATTGATAAACCTAGAAACTGACACACCTAGCAACTGACACACCTGTCGTCTTTTTACAATAATAGAAACATTTATCAACATTTGATCTTATCTACACATGGATAGGAAACTTGAAAACTCTCTACCATAACCACCAGAATCTCTTACATCACCACAATCAGACACCCTTTCTCCATCAAAAAAAGACAACCTTCTATCATCAACATCATACACCCTGCTACCATCACAGCCAGACACACTTCCACAATAAACATCCGATACCATTCAAACATCAACAACAGACAGACTTTTACCATAACATCCAGGCACACATCCACTATAAACATCAAACACCTTTCTACCATCAACATCATATAGTCTTCTACCATCAACAACAGACACCCTCCTACTAATACAGTCAGGCACTCTTGCACCATAAAAGCCAGACATCCATCCTCATCACATTCAAAAGCCCTTCTACCATCAGAGCCCGGCACGCTTCTACAATTACAGCCCGACGCACATCTAATATCACAGTTAGACACACATCCAATATCACAGTCAGACACACACCCAACATCATCATTAGACACCATTTAGTCATCCACAGCGATAAACACATCCACCATCACAGTCAGAGATCCATCCACCATCATAGCGAGACACACATCCACTACCCCAGCGAAACACACATCCACCATCACAGACACACACACACATCCACTTTCATAGCCAGATTCCCATTCACATCACAGCCAGACACCCATCCACCATCACATCCATATACACCGCTTCACGAACACATCTCAGACTTCTCTGGGATTACATCGATCGAATCTCCTTGTTTTCCTAGTTTGTGGTCATCAGTATGGCAGTGGATCACTTTATGGTAGAAGTCGATCCCATGGCCCTGGTGTTTGACAATTATCGGTGTGGAGTCACACTGTGACGGTGACTGAACACAATCTCATTTGATGTTCATCTCAAGTCTGGCCCGATTCTAAAAGCATGTGTGTGTCTACTTATATGAGCATCAATTCAATAGCGATGAAATTATACAAGTATATTTTGAATTACTTCAGATGTTTGGAATTTACCTTTTGTTTTAAAAAAATATTATTTACCCAATTTTTTTCGGTGTCTAATACCTTAGTATATTTCCACTGAGAAGCTCTTGATCGCTTAGTGTATTAAACGTGAAAATTACCAATATCTGGCAATTACGCGAGGAATAGATTGATCGCTCCACATTCTAAGGTGATATAATTATTTGTTCTGTCAATTTGTGGCTCTAATCTGATCACGGTTTTTACGGCCAAAATTGTTGTATTATTTGATTGTAATTTGTTTTTTTTTAAAGAAAACTTAAGATTTCTACGTGTTTCTCGTGTGATAGAGAAAGAGGCCAGCGTTGAACCAAGTGTCAGATTCACATTCCCACGGGGAGGAATTCGACCTGTATTTGTTTGAAAGTGTAGTGAATGTACGAACCCTCTTGATCTGCAGTTTTATACCTGAGCTTACCTAAATAATGTATTACTGTAGGCCAGTGGCGTAGAAAGGGGGCGTGATTGGGGGGGGGAGGGGGTTGCGGACCGCACCGGGTGACACCAACCCTTGCTACGCCAATGTTGTAGGCTAATGGAGCGAATCGTCGTTGTTATTTGAAAGTTTAGCAAATCAAAAAATTGCATGCTCATGAAAATATGTTTTACAATTATTTTATCTATTTTGGCTTTTATGGGGATTTAGTTCAAGCCTTACTATGATATTGTTGATACGCTACCTTCTGTTTCGGAAACCTACATTTTGTTAACACTAAAACAAATGCCGTTACGTTACGGTTGTTGTAAGCAATACACAGAACTGGAGTGCCTTCCTGTGCACAGATTGAGCATCGCTGGCTTCTTTGTGTGTGTGTGCGTGATAAATAACACTAGGAAGAAGGCGTCTTTATATTTGTAATCATATGTGTGGTTCCGAGTCAATTGTATAAATTGTCATATCCACGTTTCATGTTTGGTTTCCATGTCAATTGTATACGTTGTCTTATTTACTGTATATTTTCTTTTTATTTCAGATTTAGCAGTATTAAAAAAAAAAATAAAAAAATTCTGAACTAAAAAATGTCCATAGTACCTGAAGGTCAGTTTGGTGTTTGCTTTGAATTCCGTTGTTTAAATAACTTTTTTAAAGAGTTGATTTGTCTTTTATTAAGAAGTGGTTACATAAACGAGTTCACTGCTGTTGAAATCACGCTGCTCGTTTCCTTCATTTACCCCTTTCAAAAATACATGTTATTTTATCTGCCTACCCAAATACGCCACAACTACAAAGCACATATTACATATTAAATATTACATAGCACATAGCACACTATAATCTCCACACCAAAACACGCAACCATTGGAAAAAAAAATCATGTTTCATTCACATTCCCCTTGAAAAACTGGAAAACTTATTTTTATCCTTGGGGGTGGGTGGTGGGGCTGAAATATTGGAAATAATGTTTTATCATTAGCAACAAGTCCGTGTGCAAAAGTTTCATCTCGATAGGATGATGGCAAGCGGGTCAGTTAGCCGTCCGAAGATTTCGACAGAAACACGCAAATAAAAGTGAATTTAATATAGAGAATTTAAAAAGTGGATTTTACAAACTGCTGATAAATAGACCGATGAATGACGTCACAAATACATTTTTTACTGATTATTTTCCTCCATATGTTTTCAACATTCGTAAAACGCACGCTAATCTCTACCCAATACTGAAGAGTAATTAAGCAAAACCTCAGATCCAAACGGCAATGACAAGAAGAGTCTTGCAATTATTGACGAGGCTAAATCTAGAACAGCAGTCCTCAAGTTAGGGCTCAAAATGATTGATTGAATCTAATATTTGCCTGTGAATGATTGGGTATAATAGCTGTCTCTAAATGACTGGATCTAATAGTAATAGCTGTCTTTAAATGACTGGATCTAATAGTAATAGATGTCTTTAAATGATTGGATCTAATAGATGTCTCTCAATTTTGGATTTAACTGATATATTTAAATGTGTGGATATATTAATATTAATGTTTCCAAATTACTGGATCTAAAAGATGTCTCTAAATGATTAAATCCATTGAAAATCTGAATCTTTAAATGATATTAGGCCTATCTATTTGTCTCCACGTAATTGGATCTAACCCATATCCTTTTATCATTACATCTAAACGATGTTTCTAAATGATTGGATCTTACTGGATGTTAACTAAACTAATGGTGGTTCTCAATCTTTTCAAGTTGTGTATATTTCATTATTCTAATCTCACACCATAACTAAGAGGCATATAATTTATATGAATTCCTCTAGTCTATTTTTTTTTTTACTTATCAGTTAAAGCTTAAGTTGTTCTATTTTATTCCAGATCCCAGTGACCCCAATGTTCATTTGGCGTTCATGTACGGCACTCTTAAATCTACTGAGCCAAATCACATCCAACTGTTCGTGAAGGGCCCGGGGGGCGCCAAGTTCTATGGAAGGGCCAAAACTGTTGGAAAGTTCCCTCTGCTGGTGACGACGCCCTTTAACATTCCATTTTTACTTCACAAAGAGGGCACGGGACATGTGAGTACCAGGAAGTTGGGGGACAGGGGGTCAGGGGTTGACGTGATCTTTGCAAAGGTTTCACTGTGTTTGTTAAAATGGTCTGTGTTTGGTTGAAAGGTCTGTATTTGGTTGAAATGGTCTGTGTTTGTTGAAATGGTCTGTGTTTGGTTGAAATGGTCTGTGTTTGTTGAAATGGTCTGTGTTTGGTTGAAATGGTCTGTGTTTGTTGAAATGGTCTGTGTTTGTTGAAATGGTCTGTGTTTGGTTGAAATGGTCTGTGTTTGTTGAAATGGTCTGTGTTTGTTGAAATGGTCTGTGTTTGTTGAAATGATCTGTATTTGGTTGAAATGGTCTGTGTTTGGTTGAAATGGTCTGTGTTTGGTTGAAATGGTCTGTGCTTGGTTGAAATGGTCTGTATTTGGTTGAAATGGTGTGTGTTTGTTGAAATGGTCTGTGTTTGGTTTAAATGGTCTGTGTTTGTTGATGAAATGGTCTGTGTTCGTTGAAATGGTCTGTGTTTGTTGAAATGGTCTGTGTTTGGTTGAAATGGTCTGTGTTGGTTGAAATGGTCTGTGTTTGGTTGAAATGGTCTGTGTTTGGTTGAAATGGTCTGTGTTTGTTGAAATGGTCTGTGTTTGGTTAAAATGGTCTGTTCTGTTAAAAGGTTTTTTTTAATGTTTGAAATGGTTTTATCATTATTTAAAATTATTTTTGGCAAGGGTTTGCTTGTATCTGAAATGATCTGATGTAGGTTGTGTTGGTTGTAATTGGAATTATTATTTTAATGATATCCTACGTGTTGTTGGTTGTAAAACGCACTGATTCATCTCTTTTTGCCTGGGGTGGAAAAATTGTGCGAAATGAGACTTCCTTCTGAGAAATTTAAAATCATTCTAAAGGCGGTACTATTATTTGTGCTGGGCCTGTTAACTTAGGTTTACCATAGCAATCGAAGCTGATAATGATTTAAACCTTTGTGCTGGGCCTGGTAACTTAGGTTTACCATAGCAATCGAAGCTGATAATGATTTAAACCTTTGTGCTGGGCCTGTTAACTTAGGTTTACCATAGCAATCGAAGCTGATAATGATTTAAACCAGGAGTAATGGAATGGTAAACATATTCTATTTTAATGTTAGTGTATATTGGTAGGATTTGGGGGGTAAACGCATCATACTCGAGTGTTTGTGGATATTGGATAGGAATTGAAAGGTAAAAAAAAAATCTATCAGAATGTTAGTGTATATTGGGTTACTAGACTTCGACGTGATTTTGTTTTGAACAGAGGATTGACGGTGAGTTGTACAGAATGGACGAAGAGACATTCAACCATGTTGATTGGTTTGAGGACCATCCAAACTGGTATGTCCGGAAGCTGGTCAAGGTGGAGGTGTATACCGACGACTCGGACATCATGATTGAACCTCGCGTGGTAGAGTGTTGGATGTACGGATTAGCCAGGTGAGTTAATAGGCTACAGGGTTAAACCTCGTGAGGTAGAGTGCTGGGTGTACGGATTAGCCAGGTGAGTTAATAGGGTACAGGGTTAAACGTCGTGAGGTAGAGTGTTGGGTGTACGGATTAACCAGGTGAGATACTTGGGTACATGATTGAAATGGTGTGGTAGAGTTTTGGATGTACGAATTAGCCAGGGGAGTTACTGGCATACGAGACTTAGATCGTAATTTTATATCAATTTTTGTATTATTAACATGCCCAGGTAAATGTAAAGCTGAGGGTATGGATTATCCAGACCAATGTATTGTTATTTCTTTACAAATAATGTACATGGATTTTTAAGCTAACGGATAAGTCAGTCGATTGCTGTATGCATAGAGAATTCATCTCTGAATGTCGGGAATGTGTTGGTCACCCATGTCGTTGACATGTTCAGAGCATGGATTTACCATTTGTAATATTTGTTTGGCGTTTGGATTAAAACACTTAGTTTTGTTTTTCTTCACTTTGAACGCAGCACACAATATTACCTAAACAATATTACCTAAACAATATTACCTAAACAATATTACCTAAACAACATTAATTATCAATGTTAGACTAACTATCAATAAAGTAATTTTTTTTTTAATACAATATTACGAATAAATTTCAATAAAATTTGCTATAACCAGGTTCAAGAAAAGTCTCCTGGAGATGCCCCTGGTCGAAGTTTACCACGACAACCCACAAGATAAACAAAGACGCTACAGGCCGTACACTGTTGGAAAAGATGAACCGCTCGAGCCCTACCTGTTTGATGAATGACGGTCATTGTCTTCAGAACTGATATCAACATGTGTTTGCTGTGGGTCTTACGCGGTTTGAGAGTATTCATGTATTCATTTTGGTAATGCCGTAAATGAAAGCCACTAGGATTAGCCGTAACTGAAAGCCACTGTGATTAGCCATAATGGAAAGCCACTGCGATTAGCCATAAAGGAAAACCACTGTGGCTAGCCAAAGCTGAAAGTCAATATGATTAGTCATAACCACTATGATTAGCCATTATGATTAGCCACAAGTGAAGCCACTATCACTAGCCACAAGTAAAAGCCTGTATGATTAGCCACAAGGGAAAGCCACTATGATTAGCCACAAGTGAATGCCATTATGATTAGCCATAAGAGAAAACAAATATGATTAGCCAAACTGAATGCCACTATGATTAGTCATAACCACTATGATTAGCCACAAATGAAAGCCACTATGATTAGCCACAAGTGAAAGCCACTATGATTAGCCACAAGTGAAAGCCACTATGATTAGCCACAAGTGAAAGCCACTATGATTAGCCACAAGTGAAAGCCACTATAATTAGCCACTATGATTAGCCACAAGTGAAAGCCACTATGATTAGCCACAAGTGAAAGCCATTATGATTAGCCACTAGCTAAAGCCACTATGATTAGCCGTAACTGAATGGAGAGCATGAATGAGACACCATTTCTGTATCATCGAATTCATCGTACCCTACATTTGGAAAGCCACTATGATTAGCCACAAGTAAAAGCCACTATGATTAGCCACAAGTAATAGCCACTATGATTAGCCACAAGTGAAAGCCATTATGATTAGCCGTAACTCAATGGAGAGCATGAATAAGACACCATTTCTGTATCATCGAATTCATCGTATCCTATATTTGGAAAGTTGTAAACCATTTTTAAAATTTTTCACTGATATGAACGACAGTCATCTCATTTTAACTTGTTGCCAATAGTTTTTACTCATTAACAACATTCTAGTTGGTAATGACAAAATTGCGAGTTTGTAAGAGAATCTATACGTAAGTAGGCCACCACATGTTTCAAACTTTTGAAAGGTAATTTTTTGAGCTGCTCACTGCTGTTTGATAATCCTAGGTTTATAAGGCAGTGACACGTTGATATTATAAAAACTGTGCACTGGATAATCTGCTTCCACATTCTATGTAAATATGTAATAGATCTAAACTGATCAATAGTGTCCGGTATCTATTGTATCAGTGTGTTTTATCACTTGGTTCCACTGTGTGATTGACCTCGGTCAACCTGATATTGCTAATATTGTAGTGGTAACAGTTAGTTTATTTATCCATAGTGCCAAGTGTGAGAACTCATAACATTAAAGTTTTTAAAGAATAGAATGGAGTGAACCAATGAATTGAACCAATGGAGTGAACCAATGGCGTGAACCAATGGAGTGAACCAATGGAGTGAACCAATGGAGTGAACCAATGGAGTAAACCAATGGAGTGAACCAATGAATTGAACCAATGGAGTGAACCAATGGAGTGAACCAATGGAGTGAACCAATGGAGTGAGCCAATGGCGTGAACCAATGGAGTAAACCAATGGAGTGAACCAATGGAGTGAACCAATGGAGTGAACCAATGGAGTGAACCAATGGAGTGAAACAATGGAGTGAACCAATGGAGTGAACCAATGGAGTAAACCAATGGAGTGAACCAATGGAGTAAACCAATGGAGTGAGCCAATGGCGTGAACCGTTTCGTCCCAGCTACAGCGTGAACTAGTCGCGTTGTGGAAACCCACTGTGGAATCCCTCTTATAGGGCGTCCGACGCTTTCCCGGGATGGGTGGGGGAAGATATTAGGACGTAAATTTTTCCATCCCAACTCCTGAGAAAGTCGATCGAGTGCACTATTTAAACGCATAGTGTCGGATCGACCGGGTGCCTCCTGGTTGGGGCGGCCCCCAGGCGGGGTTCTGGTCGATCGCCCAGGCGCCCAGGCGGGGGACTTGGGTGAGGGGCCCGTGTGGGGGCCGTCCTGACGAGTGGGCATCTCCAACGTGCCGCTCCGCGGCCCGATACGTTGGACCGGGAAGGGGTAATTTGGGGGTGGGGCATAAGAGTCTAGACTCGCCCCGCTGACGCCATTTCTTAATGTAAAAATTCAGTGAACCAATGGAGCGAACCGATGGAGCAAACCGATGGAATGAGCCAATGGAGTGAACCAATGGAGTGAACCAATGGAGTGAACAAATGGAGTGAACCAATGGAGTGAACCAATGGAGTGAACCAATGGAGTGAACCAACGGTGCGAACCGATGGAGCAAACCGATGGAATGAGCCAATGGAGTGAACCAATGGAGTGAACCAATGGAGTGAACCAATAGAGTGAACCAATGGAGTGAACAAATGGCGTGAAAAAATGGAGGGAATCAATGGAGTGAACCATGCAATGGAGTGAACCAATGGAGTGAACCAATGGAGTGAACCAATGGAGTGAATCAATGGAGTGAACCATGCAATGGAGTGAACCAATGGAGTGAACCAATGGAGTGAAACAATGGAGTGAATCAATGGAGTGAACCAGTAAAGTGAACCAATGGAGTGAATCAATGGAGTGAACCATGCAATGGAGGGAACCAATGGAGTGAACAAATTGAGTGAACCAATGGAGTGAACCAATGGAGTGAACCAATGGAGTGAACCAATGGAGTGAACCAATGGAGTGAACCAATGGAGTGAACCAATGGAGTGAACCAATGGAGTGAACCAACGGTGCGAACCGATGGAGAGAACCAAAGGAATGAACCAATGAAGTGAACCAATGGAGCGAACCAATAGAGTGAACCAATGGAGTGAACCAATGGAGCGAACCAACGGAGCGAACCGATGGAGAGAACCAATTGAGTCAACCAATGGAGTCAACCAATTGAGTGAATCAAGGGAGTGAACCAATGGAGTGAACCAATGGAGTGAACCAATGGAGTGAACCAATGGAGTGAACCAATGGAGTGAACCAACGGTGCGAACCGATGGAGAGAACCAAAGGAATGAACCAATGGAGTGAACCAATGGAGTGAACCAATAGAGTGAACCAATGGAGTGAACCAATGGAGTGATTCAACGGTGCGAACCGATGGAGAGAACCAAAGGAATGAACCAATGGAGTGAACCAATGGAGTGAACCAATGAAGCGAACCGATGGAGAGAACCAATGGAGTGAACCAATGGAGTGAGCCAATGGAGTGAACCAATGGAGTGAGCCAATGGAGTGAACCAATGGAGTGAACCAATGGAGTGAACCAATGGAGTGAACCAATGGAGTGAACCAACGGTGCGAACCGATGGAGAGAACCAACAGATATGCAATCCCTCTGATTTTTATGAAAACATACATATTAAAATTATTGCGTGTGCATGACGTGATATTTTTAACTCGACTTAGTTTCTGGAACCAACATTAGCACTGTGTCACAAAGAACCAACATTAGCACTGTGTCACAAAGAACCAACATTAGCACTGTGTCACAAAGAACCAACATTAGCACTGTGTCACAAAGAACCAACATTAGCACTGTGTCACAAAGAACCAACATTAGCACTGTGTCACAAAGAACCAACATTAGCACTGTGTCACAAAGAGCCAACATTTGCACTGTGTCACAAAGAACAAACTTTTGCACTGTGTCACAAAGAACCAACATTAGCACTGTGTCACAAAGAACCAACATTTGCACTGTGTCACAAAGAACCAACATTTGCACTGTGTCACAAAGAACCAACATTAGCACTGTGTCACAAAGAGCCAACATTTGCACTGTGTCACAAAGAGCCAACATTTGCACTGTGTCACAAAGAACCAACATTTGCACTGTGTCACAAAGAGCCAACATTTGCACTGTGTCACAAAGAGCCAACATTTGCACTGTGTCACAAAGAGCCAACATTTGCACTGTGTCACAAAGAGCCAACATTTGCACTGTGTCACAAAGAACCAACATTTGCACTGTGTCACAAAGAGCCAACATTTGCACTGTGTCACAAAGAACCAACATTAGCACTATGTCACAAAGAACCAACATTAGCACTGTGTCACAAAGAACAAATATTTGCATTGTGTCACAAAGAACCAACATTTGCACTGTGTCACAAAGAACCAACATTTGCACTGTGTCACAAAGAACCAACATTTGCACTGTGTCACAAAGAACCAACATTTGCACTGTGTCACAAAGAACCAACATTAGCACTGTGTCACAAAGAGCCAACATTTGCACTATATCACAATAAGTCAACATTTGCATTATGTCACAATAAGTCAACATTTGCAGAATGGCAATATGTGCTAACATTTGCACTTTGTCACAATAAACCAAAATTGGCACTATGTCACAAAGAGCCAACATTAGCACTGTCACAATAAGCCAACATTTGCACTATGTCACAATGTGTAATTGTTAGGAAAGCTTGTAATTAAAATATGTATGCCTGGTCCATTTATTTTGCCATTTTTGACGTAATACAGCTTTGTGATAAAGTGATATACCAAAGGATATACATGTATATATTTAATATGAGTTTTTTTTACAGCTGATAAATTTAGAATGTCGTCTTAAATAGAATTTGTTCAGACGCGTTGATTCTGTTCTTTTTAACTTTTACGGCTTGCCTAGTCAAATATTGTCTCCACTTGAGAATACATATCTCACCATCAAATAAGATAACTTAACATTGAGCTAGATATCTCATCATCAAGCTAGATATCTCACCAACAAGCTAGATATCTCACAAAAACTATATAATTCACCAACAAAATAGATATCTCACCAACAAGCTAGATATCTCACAAAAACTTTATAATTCACCAACAAACTAGATATCTCACCAACAAGCTAGATATCTCAAAAAACTATATAATTCACCAGCAAACTAGATATCTCATCATCAAGCTAGATATCTCACCAACAAGTTAGATATCTCACAAAAACTATATAATTCACCAACAAGCTAGATATCTCACCAACAAAATGGATCAAATAGATATATCAACAAGAAAATGGATCAAATAGATATCTCACCAACAAAATAGATCAAATAGATATCTCACCAACAAAATGGATCAAATAGATATTTCACCAACAAAATGGATCAAATAGATATCTCACCAACAAAATGGATCAAATTGATATCTCACCAACAAAATGGATCAAATAGATATCTCACCAACAAAATGGATCAAATTGATATCTCAACAACAAAATGGATCAAATCGATATCTCAACAACAAAATGGATAAAATACATAACTCAACAACAAGCAATATTCACGTTGGAAGGGGGGCAGAGCGTCAGTGGACACTCGTTGCTGGGAGTCGTCTCATCCATTCCTCTCTCTCATAGGTTTGGTTTATCTTATGGCGGGAAATCCGCATCAGTTATCTCATTCTCTATCTCCCCCACTCTCTCTCTCTCTCTCTATCCCTCACACACACTTTCTCTCCCTCGTTCTTTCACTCTCTGTCATTTTTTTCTTTCTACCTCTCTCTTTCTCACGCTCTCTCTCACACCCTTTCGTTATTTCTGTTTCTCTCTCTTTCTCACGCTCTCTCTCACACCCTTTCGTTATTTCTGTTTCTCTCTCTTTCTCTCTCTCTCCATCAATCTGCCGTTCTTTCTCTCTCTCTCTCTCCCTGTATTTCTTTCTCTCTCTCCATTTCTCTCTCCATCCACATTATAAAACCCCATTAGGACAAGCCAACCTGATGATGCAGTGCACTTGAACCTTCCATCTTGCACACATGTGTACAGTGTACAGATCAATTGAGACTTGTGTATAGTAATACAATTATATCAGTTTCATCCAGAGTTTTTATTTCTTAGCTTGCCAACAAAGGTTTTCTTCACAACGCTTCTTTGAAAAACAAAACAAGAATTTGCACGTGGTTTAATGTATAAATAGGCTGTCTCCATAATTGATTCCATATTCTTTTTTTTACACACTTTCTTTCAGCCATTATTTTATAGTAGTCTTTAATCAAATTTCGCCGACCTAGAACAGAACTGCCTTAATTATCTTCTCCATTTAACTTTGATATAAGTTTGGAAATATTTTGTTGAAATAAAAAATATTTTTGTACTTGTGTTTCCGTGAATTTTTAAAATTGTATTTTAATTTTGGTTCTGTTTTAAATTTTATATTTTAAAACAGATCTTACAGTTATTTAACTTAACAATGATCTTATAGTAAACTTTTTTTTTTTTTCCAAAGATAGAACCCTGTAAGTAATTCATTATTCTTAAATGAACAATTCATTCGTATAAAAATTTTGAATCTCCAAAAACTAAATTTTAACAAGGATAAAAACATAATATTTGAATCAAGTAAACATAAAGGCTTACTATGTCAGCCAGAAAACATATAGACCTACTATATAAGCCAGTAAACATGTAGACCTGCTATGTCATCAAGTAAACATATAGGCCTATTATCCTCATCCTCCTCATGTCCCTTAGTCCTTGGACCGTTGGGGCGCCACAGATGAGATGTGAACCATCCTCCTCATGTCCCTTAGTCCTTGGACCATTGGGGCGCCACAGATGACATGTGAACCATCCTCCTCATGTCCCTTAGTCCTTGGACCATTGGGGCGCCACAGATGACATGTGAACCATCCTCCTCATGTCCCTTAGTCCTTGGACCGTTGGGGCGCCACAGATGACATGTGAACCATCCTTTGATGTTATCCTCCCACCTTTTTCTTTGTCTTCCTCTTCTTCTCCCCCCTCTTGTGGTGCCCTGCAATATTTCTTTGGCAAGCCCTCGTTTCCTTGTTAAGTGGCCGTACCATTGCAGTTTGCGTTTTTTCTCAGTCACCAGTCAGTAGGTCATCGTACTCTGCACAATCCTGGACATCAGTTCGGGCTTGGAGCCTTCTTCTGAGACTATTGCTCCTAGGTATTTGAAGAGGCTGACAGTCTCTAATCTTTCCTCCCCGATCTTAATTTCAGTGGTGATGCCTACGGTATTATTTGTCATCAGTTTTGTCTTTTCTGCACTGATTAGCATGCCATAGGACGATGAGGTCTGATCGAGACGCTTTACCAGGTTGGCTCGCTCTTCTTCGTTCCCAGCCAGCACGTCTATGTCGTCCGCAAAGCGTAGGTTGGTGATTGTTCTGCCACCAATGCTGACTGTCCCTTCATGCGCTTCCAGAGCATCTGACATAATTCTCGCTTGGAAGATGTTGAATAGGGTGGGGGAGAGCAGGCAGCCTGGCTGGTGGAGAGCAGGCAACCTGGCTGGGGGAGAGCAGGCAGCCTGGCTGGTGGAGAGCAGGCAGCCTGGCTGGTGGAGAGCAGGCAGCCTGGCTGGGGGAGAGCAGGCAGCCTTGTCGTACTCCAACGGCTTATGCATTTTACAAATTTTTTTTCTAATATAATACTGATAGAGAATTCAAAATACACGGGAAACATTCATATGTCACATGTATGGCTAACCCTATGCTAACCCTTTTTGAATTGTGAAATCGAATGAGAAGCTAATTCATGCATACAATCTCAATGGAACACCACATTAGCGTTGGTTATGTCATGAATATACCAAAATGCGCACGACTAGGCGCTGCGCTTAAAAGTGATGTCGAAAAGTGTGCACCGGGATCGAATGACGCGCTATTCCTTCCGGGTGTTTCGCTACAAAATGTGGCAACAAGATAGAATGTTGATATGCATCAATCGCATTGCCCGTGTTTAGGATTGGACCTGAATTTAGGAAGATTCTCGGGAGAAGAAAGCAATGAACAAAATCGTAAAAGTTTCTATATCATCCTGTTCAACACGAATTATCACAGCAAAATAAATAAATAACCTCTACATCGTTGCCGTTCTAAACATAAAGTATTTGATATATAATTGTACTAGACAACAACCTTCTCAAATTTAAATGAAAGGCATCTTTCAATCTAAGCCGCAAGTAATAGCATTGGCCAACATGGAGCTTACACAAACTCCGTGCACGAATAACTTATGAAACTTTCTCTTGTGATCTGTCAACCTCGTTTTGGTCGCCGTCCATTTGACTATCGTTTCCATTGAGTAAACTCGCAAGTATGTTATTCATTGATTAAACAAGCGTCTCATCATGTTTGGAGTTTACAACACGCAAGCTATGGAGGGATTCAACGCCATACTCTTGGGGAAAAGGGTAGATTGCTATAAAGGCGGTGTGTCCTACGCGGAACTTTGTTCGGACGAGCCCCCCTTTAAAACGCCGAGTCAGTCAGCGTGTCACGCAAACGTGGGCGGTCACGGCGATCTACGTGGAGCGTGTCGGAACACAGTCACGAGGGGGAACCTCGATGACGAGAAGCAGAGCGCCCCTCCTTCACCTTTGCAGAATGCGCCACTGTGCGGCACGAGGCTTCCCATTTTCAGAAAAGGCAACAGGTACAATGCGATCTGGAGGGTCCCCAAATATGTGGCCAGCGAGTCGACGCTGTCTGGATTAGAGGATATGGGCTACGCCACTTTCGGAAAGAACAACGAAGCGACGCCCCTTGAAGATTCGAACGGCAATCAGAAAACGAATAACGGAACCCTCCTGCAGATCACGCCGCTGGGTTTACGACAGTTTCCAAGCAATGACTCCATCACGAAGGCACGCGGGGAGCTCCACAAGTGGAGACGGCACCTACTCTCTAGGGTTGCGCAGAAGGACTGTGACCTGGCGCAAAGCTTGAACATCACCGTGACGAAGCTTCAGAGCACGCCCCCGTCTCACGTCGAAAACGCCTGTAAGCCGCCCCTACCTCGTTCCGGATTCGTCGTCTCGAACACAAGCGCCCCTGCAGCTGATCGCACAACTTTACCAGTCAACAAACCAACGAGGACCCGTTATTTTCAATCCCTGACGTCATCTGGAGCGCATTTTGCGATTTGCGCCCATCTTCCAACTAGGGCGCACAAGAAAGGCAGGCGCCCAACGTTATCCGTATTCACCGTGTATCATATTGAAGTCAACGCTCCCTCGGATGACAGTGTTCGAAGACATGTTAAAGATCTTTTCACGGTTTCGAAGGCGATACCCCCACACCACGAGGCGTCGACCTTCAACTTGGCGACCGAAGAAACCCCGGATGTGATTTGCGACAGTGGGAAATTTACGATTATAACGGCGAAAAAAAGGAACAAGCGCCGGTGCAAGTTCAAGAACTCATTCTCTGGGGAGAAGCGCAACAGAGACGCCTCTGCGAATCACGTCATCAAACCGGGGAAGGGGGTGTCCTCCGCACAATCAGTCAAGAAGAGTGCAACGAGGAACAAGGCGCGCGAGGCGACACCCTCTCGCAGACCCCAGCCCGCCTCAGATGTTGAGAAAGTACGCCTGGAAAACAACACTAGGGGTGAACACTCGAAGTTCAGCCCCAACTGCAAAACAGTGGACACAGCGTTAAAAGACAATTCTACGTTAAACACCCATTCAGAATTAAACACCAATTCAACCTTGAACATCAACTCGGCCATAAATAAGACTTTCCGACGCGTGAAAGATGCGCCCGAGATCAGCGGTTATCGCGCCAAGAAGCAGTCACAAGTGAGGGCATCTGAGAAATCTCGGGTCAGTCAGAACGGCACGGACCAAGCAGTGAACGTTCCAACTCTCAAATCAGAACCCGTGAAGGGTAAAGCAGACGACGGCCAGGTCGTCTCCCCTGTGTGTCACCCGAAATTCGAGCCGAATACGAAGAAGCGATATCAAATCGGGCGCGTGCGAACAGAGTCAAGGTCCACAGACCCTGTGTCCTCTTGTGGTCGCGAGGAAACGAAAGCGAGTATAACTTGTCCCGAAGGTTCCAATGAATTGATTCGGACTCCCCGGACGTCGAGAAGCCGGTCAGCGGCTAATAAATGCGTGACTGTCGTATTCGAGTTCGATTCCGACCAGGAGGCAGACGACGCGTTAGATTCCACTAAAACTTTGAACATGGCGATGGGACAGTGCATGCGAGACTCCAAGAGAAAAGGCCGCGAGGATGTCATAAGAAAATTACTGGACTATTCGACGCAGGCAAAGAAAGATAAGCCGAGATCCCCCCAAGATGGGCGGATTGTATCACTGAGAAAGGCGAGCCAGCTGTCCCAAATGAAGGATTCAAATTCCGGAAATGAAGCGAGGATATTCCCAAAAGTTAAGTTAGATGGTCTGCGAAGTAGAAATAGAAACACGAATCATGACGATACCTGGTTTTTGGAGCAGCGACAGGAAGGAACAGACTCGATGCACAACGGTACAGATTGGACGGGGGGAAAAAGAGGCAAAGATAATAATGTAGACACGGTGCAATGCGGGGGGATGGAAATGGATGACGATGATATGATAGAGACAGTCAGCCAGTGTAATGATCTGTTTAACAGCAGCCAAATCTTCGAGTCCGACGCTGAGGTGACCAGCCAAAGGAAGAGGTCAGAGGTGACTGAGAAAAGAGAAGATGACATGGATGCACCAGAGAATGAAGGAAGAGTGTGTGACAGGTCCGAACAGCGGGGTAACAATGAATCGGTGTCGGGTAAAAATATCCAACAGGAAGAGTCAGACGTGACAAGGGGAGAAGAAGGTTGCACTGAACTGACCGCTAATCTTGAAATGGAAATTGTCCACGAGACATTAAGAGAGGAATGTGGCACTGAACTGACCCCTAATCTTTTAATGGCAGTTTTCCACACGACACCAGGAATCGAAAGGAGTAAGTCCAGTAAGCAATGGGCAACGCCTGTGAATGACACGAGAAGCGATGACCAATCTTTTCGACTACCGGCCCACCGTGAATTCGATTCACCAATTCTTTCGGGGCCGACTGACTTTAAGAAGGTGAAAGACGATCTTGTCCCGCACGTGGATAGCAGCAACGGAAATAAAACTGTCAAAGAGTCCATCACGAACCTTGGCGCCAACGTGGATACAGCAATCTTAGAGAAAGTATCATCAGACGATGTGGATAGAATGGGCTATCGCGGCTCTTTGTTTCCGAATTTAGGACCCAGGGAATACTTGCCACGCCGAGGTCATTCGTCCCTGGAGAGACTGGGCAACGGTCATCTCGAAACACGGATCACCGGTAATAAAGGAAGTGCGTCACGTAGGTCGACCTATGACCTGGCCGTGACTGGTGGACCGAAGATTCATGAAGCTAATGGTGAGGACGATGAGCATGGATGTGTGGAGGTGGAGATAAGCAAACAGCATACCAACAAAGGTGAGGCTACTTTGTAGGAGCAGTGGTGTGGATAAAAGAGAATGGATACCTTGCCTTGGGACACTTCCTTCTTAAAAACTTGAATTGAAAAGAAAAATTGGCCCATAATTCTACTTAGATGTGCATTAGCTACCTCGTGGTTCTACTTTAGATGTGCATTAGCTATCTCATAGTTATACTTAGATGTGCATTAGCTACCTCGTCGTTGTACTTTGGATGTGCAATAGCTATCTCATAGTTCTACTTAGATGTGCATTAGCTACCTCGTGGCTCTACTTTAGATGTGCATTAGCTATCTCGTGGCTCTAATTTAAATGTGTATTAGCTATCTCATGGCTCTACTTTAGATGTGCATTAGCTATCTCATGGCTATTCTTTAGATGTGCATTAGCTATCTCGTGGCTCTATTTTAAATGTGTAGTAGCTATCTCATGGCTGTACTTTAGATGTTCATTAGCTATCTCGTGACTATTCTTTAGATGTGCATTAGCTATCTCGTGACTATTCTTTAGATGTGCATTAGCTATCTCGTGGCTCTACTTTAGATGTGCATTAGCTACCTCATTGCTCTACTTTAGATGTGCATTAGCTATCTCATGGCTATTCTTTAGATGTGCATTAGCTATCTCGTGGCTCTACTTTAGATGTGCATTAGCTACCTCATTGCTCTACTTTAGATGTGCATTAGCTATCTCATGGCTATTCTTTAGATGTGCATTAGCTATCTCGTGGCTCTACTTTAGATGTGCATTAGCTATCTCATGGCTATTCTTTAGATGTGCATTAGCTATCTCGTGGCTCTACTTTAGATGTGCATTAGCTATCTCATGGCTATTCTTTAGATGTGCATTAGCTATCTCGTGGCTCTACTTTAGATGTGCATTAGCTATCTCATGGCTATTCTTTAGATGTGCATTAGCTATCTCGTGGCTCTACTTTAGATGTGCATTAGCTATCTCGTGGCTCTACTTTAGATGTGCATTAGCTATCTCATGGCTATTCTTTAGATGTGTATTAGCTATCTCGTGGCTCTGCTTTAGATGTACATTAGCTATCTCAAGGCTCTACTTTAGATGTACATCATGCTTCTGATTTGATGTTTATTAGCTTTGCTCAAAATATTCTTAACCTTATATTTTTGGAACGCAAAAACTGATTTAAAAATATTTTTCACACCCTTCTTAAACTCAAAACGTATTTTGCACCCTACCATCGTTGTTTGCAATTCTATTCTGTTGGGTTTCATTTAAATATAAATGGGTCTTCTTGCTGTCCTTATAGAAATATCTCCTTTATCCCCATGAGGTGCGGACTATCATGTTTGAGAACCCTCGGTCTTCAGTTTGGAGAAATAATGGTCATCGTGGAAGATTTCACTGTGGTCTTTGCAAGCATTCATTCAATGCTTCCAATAGTAACAATAAATGATAAAATAACTAAATTCGACCCCCTTTTAAAATAACGGGTAGATTCTTCCAAAAATTGTGTCACGTCATGATTTTGTATTAATCATTTTAATAAATTAAATTCTAAAAAGATTTTCAAACAAAATGTTAAAGCATTTTTTAAAGACTCCTTCGGCAAACTTACCTTTAGTTCAGGCCTGAACAACATACGGCCCGCGGGCCGCATGCGACCCGCCCGCACCCATTTAGCGGCCCCGCGAAGTAACGAAATATTATTAATTATCATTATTTTTTTAATAATTGCTTTCCCCCGAATTCTATTATCTTTCGGCCCGCACTAATTTTTCATACAGTATTACGGCCCGCCTTACACTCGGCCCGCTTTACACTTTGAGTTGTGCAGTCCTGCTTTAGTTTATCAAAGACCTGACGGAATTTCATCAGAAATCAAACTGTGCATGGTGGGTAATTCAAAGGGAAACCACTACTGAATTGAGATTTATTTCTCCCTTACCAACACCGGCCCTAATATCAAAAACCTCGTTGTAATTAAACGGTTATATAAGATTGTTACAATCCTAACAACTTGAGTTTTAAAATGAAGATTACATTACATCACGTGGCACGATCGTGCCCCTTTCAGGGGAACCTACCGGTGGGACCACCTTGACCGCCGGCCCCGTGGACGGCTGCTCTCGCCACGTCGCAGTTGATGCTCACAACGTTGAAGCCCCACAGGCTCCCCACGGAGCAGACGCCACGTCGAGCGCGTGGATGCTGCTCAGGAAGACGGTGCTGCCCACCGTGCCGGAACGTCTCCCAGAGAGAAGGGTCCTGAGTCGGCGGCGCCAGGCTCTGCGGTTCAGCCCACACAACACATCCATTGGACAGAGGGATCGGGCTGGGGCGTCAGGTGATTGCCAGGATAATCCAGGTAATGTTTATGAACATGGAGAAAAAAAAAAGGGGGGGGGGGAGGGGGGTGAAGCAAAAAAAAAAATAACAAATAGAAAGAAATAAAAAAAAAAAAAAAAAGGGGGGGGGGGGAGGGGGGGTGATGCAAAAAAAATATGAACAAATAGAAAGAAATCAAATGCCGTTCACCTGTTTGAAAAGCCTGTAAAATTCAAATTATTGTAAAATTAAGATTAAATTAACATATATTAAAGTGTATTACCCTAGTTGCTTTCAACCGAGTAAAGCACACATGACCCGTACATAGCGGCTTTTCTGACCAAATTAGACGTTCTTCTGATGGTTGGTTAGCATGTCTGGTTAAGATATAGTCAATTCGTTCCCTGTAGCTATAAAGCAATGAACTCAAATTATCACTATAAAAACTATTGACTTTATTCTCAATTATTTTTTTTATTATTTTTTTTTTTTGTCAAGTTCGAAAGTCAAACATTATTTTGGTACTTGTTAATTTCCATCACGAAAGCTAAGCCTCGAATCTTCATCAAGGGCAAGGGCATGGTACTGGAGTCCCCGTTTTCGGACGACTCCAACGGGAAGTGCAAAGGTGTGGGTGAGACCACGTTGAAACCTGGGGCGGGAAAAGTCGCAGACATGCCCAGGGCCGACCCGGGCTGTGATAAGAGTGTCCGACTGCCTCAGCTTCTTGGATATGGTGACACTGTTGAATCCACACGCTGCGATGTGCAGCTGCAGAATGCGATCAGCGCACAAACAGCGGACAGCATCAAAGCTGCCCAGAAGAACTTGACCTATTCGACTGATTTTGTGTACTACGGGAAGGCCAAAGTGGACACATGGTTGAAGGCGGCGTACCACTAACGCTTGGATACAAATAGAATGTGTTGTCTCGAGTCGAATGTCATAACTTTCACCTGATAAGCAGATCTAAGCAAACAAAGCGTAGGTTTTACAACCTCAAAAAAAAATTTTTAAAAATACAAAGACACAAACATGAAAAAATATTGTTTTTCTCTTATTTATTATTATTAAGGTTCTATTTTTCTTTTCAGACTTGGCCATGATTTGCTTCTGTTAATTTTTTTTTAAAGTTCTATCGTTTTGTTTTGTTTTTTATGTTGTTTTTTCCAGATGTTGTTGTCTTTTTTTTTGGAAGAAAGTACAAGTGTTTGTTTTAAAGAAAGTGCAATGGTGTTTTTTTTTTTGTTTTGTTTTTTTTTTGTTTTTTTGTTGTTTTTTTTTAAAGAAAGTTCAACAGGAATTTTTTAAAGAAAGTACAACAGGTTTTTTTTAAAGGATGTAAATAGTAGTTTTTTTGTTTTTTTTTTCATTTTTGTGGGTTTTTTTCCGTTTTTGTTTTAATGAATGTACAATAGTGGTTTTTGGTTCGTGGTTTTTGTGTGTGTCTTATTTTTATTTTATTTTTTTGTTAATTTTTAAAATGACGAAATGAGTGTCAGTTTAATAAAAGATTATTATTTTAACACATTTGCTGAGTCCTTTGGAGACAAACAGATTGTGGGGACTAATTCATGTAGTATTTTGGAAAAGGTTGTACCCAAACTGATATTGGTTAAATCAGGGTATTTAGGGGTGGTTACGTCAAATTACGTCACGCTCAGGGGGGAAAAGGGGGGGGGGGTCGAGAATAGTGACACTTTGCGACAGGATGGAAAGGGGGGGGGAGGCAACAATTTGTGATGTCACACTTTTTTTAAAATCTAAAATTTCTAAATTTTAAAATTTTAGAAACATTGACTTGAGGTCGAAATTACATCAGGTATCATAAGCACCATGAAACTCAGTCGCGCACACTTTCTGCGCATTTCGAAAATGACGCAAAAAAACTGTTGTGGCCATTTTACATTCGGCCCAGGAAAGACTTCGTTGTTTTGCGTTTGACGTCACAGTTTTCTAAAAATACTTACATCTTAATCCATCATGGGGAAATGTTAAAGAATAAAATAAAATCTTAGTTTAGTTTGTGACCAGGGGGGAGGGGGTCCTTAAAAGGTCATTTTTGGAGTGACGTTATTCGAGAACGACCCCTTATGGGTTTTCCCTTTTTAATCACGCTTCACGTTAAGATTTCATCCCCTCCCCAATCCCCAGTTGAGGAGGGGGTCAGATGTTTAATTAACTCACATCCTCGAAATTTTTGGAAGCTTAGTCTGCGATTCGTTTTTTTTTTAACCGCCTTACCCTTAAGGTTTGTCTTTGGGACCAAATTAACGAGCAGTGGCTCCCTGTTGCACGTCTTGGGGGCGAGCTGAACTGCACGGTAGGTGGGCACGTCAGTGAGAAGTCTGACGTTTTCTAGTTTGGGGAGCACAAAGGGTCGCTACCGGTAAATGGCCCCAAGTCTTAAATTGGAAAAGTTATTTCCTTGTATTAAACTCCAGGATGTTCACAAAAGGCTCAAATTATTCCGTCCAAGAGAAATGCTCCGATATTTTTTCAGAATTCAGTGTGTCATTTGTGAGTTTTGTTTATGTGGAATTAGTGGCGTCTATTGGTTTTTTAATTTTTTTTCTAGTGAAATTTGTACATTGTTGCGATATCTACTGAGTACTGAGTACACGTAACCTGTTGTTGTAACTTTGAGGTAACACTTGGGCTGTTGCCCACCCCACCCGACCTAGCCTTTCGACAGGAGGAATAGACCACGTGATGTGTTACTTTATGTAGATTGGTATGGATGATAGAAATGTATAAAATGAATTTTATTTTTAAAAATCAGCATTCATCTATAAAATATTGGGTTACAAAAAAAAAAATTAACATTCATTAATAAAATATTGTGTTTTACCCCCCAAAAATCAACATTCATTTATAAAATATTGTGTTTAATAAATTAAAAAATCAACATTCATTTATAAAATGGTGTGTTTATAAAAAATTAGCATTCATCAATAAAGTATTATGTTTATCAAACATAATTTCTAAAGTATACAATCATATTTTTTAAATATAATTTACCATCATGACATTAGTTATAAAGTATTCCATCATGGCATAAAATATATAATATATAATATTTTTTTTAACTTTATTTTTAATAAACCATCAAAAATAATTATATAATATACAATCATATTATTTATTTATTTATAATAATAATTCCCGTAGGAATCTTGCTCGCCACGCTCTCAATGCGCACCGTGCTGCGCTCACATTCGCTGCTTACCCCGTCATGCGTTTGATCACGTACGCACCAAACGCACTCAAAAGAACACATTTCAAAACTCTCTTGGGGTCATTACACGTAAATGTTCTACTAAAATGTCTCCTGTAACCTTCAACACCAACCAAACAGCATCAGAACCCGTCACTACCCACTCTATGCGGAGTCAATACAACCAAGCATTGATGGATGTATAGAGCGCCCTCTGGAATTATTATTGAATTGATTATGCATCTCTTCCCGTATTGTATACGCGAAACGTAATTTTGTTCCCCAGCTAGTATAGTATAACTTTATAACATGGATATAAAAATATATCATCATGACATTCTTTACACTTTGTACCATAACATTAACATAATTAATTTTAAAATATACAATCACAACATTAATTATATAAAAGGACATCAAAACTTAAGTTACATAACATACCACTTTACACATATAATATTTTTACATAACTTTATTGTTATAAAATTCCATCCTAACACCGTCAAACTTAAATTGTTGTTCCTTTTCAATGAAGCCAGTTATTTGATATAACTCTCTCTATCTCTCTCTAACACTCTCTAACTCTCTCTCCTTCCCTATCTCTCTCACTCTCTGCCACGCTCTGTCTCTCCCTATTTCTCTCCCTCCCTCTCTTTAATTCCCTCTCACTCGTTCTCTCTCACTCTCTCCTTACTATCACACTTTCTACATATCTCTCTCTAATTCATTCTCTTTCCTTAAACTTTTTTTTCTCTCTCTCTCTCTCTCCCTCTAATCACACTTTCTACACCTATCTGTCTTCCACTCTCTCTCTCACTCATTCATTCTTTTACTCCCTCACTCCTTTTTTCAGTCGCTTACTCGATCCCTTTTTCACTCCCTCTTTTACTCACCAATTTTTTCTCTCACTCATTCACTAACTAACTCTTGCATTCACTCACTCACTCAGACTCTCGCACCGTCACTCACTCTCTAACACTTTCACTCACTCTCTCACACTTTCACTCACTCTCTCACACTGTCACTCACTCTCTTGCACTGTCACTCACTCTCCCACACTATCACTCACTCTCTCACACTGTCACTCTCTCTCACTCCCACTGTCACTCACTCTCCCACTCTGTCAATCACTCTCTCACTCTGTCACTCTCTCTCTCACACTGCCACTCTCTCTCACATTGTCACTCACTCTCTCACACTGTAACTCACTCTGTCACTCACTCATTCATTCACTCACTCTCACAAGCTACATGCATGGACACACCACCATTACTGCGTGTCTCAGCACAACACCACCAGTTGTAGAATATAGTTGTCCACTTCCTCTGAAGCGATCCCCGCCTTGTGTCTCTTGTTGTATCGTCATGGGAACACGGTGATCAACACAACAGGTTTGAGCAGTCTTCTGCCTCAACTGTTTGTGCCAACGGTGTATACAATTTCAAAAGGTATTTAAACCGCCTCACAGTGGCGTAGCTAGGGTTGGTGTCACCCGGTGCCATCCGCACAACCACCCTTCCTAGCTACGCCACTCATACACAGACACGAGCCATAAGCTCCCCCTTACTCTCCAATCACATCTGAGGGACGCCCCACCCACTCCCCCCTCCCATACTTGCATTCTCCTCAGACTATCTCAAGGCCGGCGATGATAGTCACTCCGTGGGCGTGGTCTCCAAGTCTATACCACCACCAGAGTGACGGATGTGGACACGCCCCCAGTGGAGCCTGATTGACACCTGAGCTCATCCCCGTTGGACTGGAGCCCGAAACTTCGGACGACGACGTTGTTGCTTCTGTACACACACGACCTGGAATGGGATCACGTGATTAGGTTTACAACAGCAGCATCCATTAGTGAGGCAGGTTGTACCGACATTAATATCTGCTGAAGCGTGACTGAGCAGGACGCTCTTGCACGGCCGCTCACGAAGAACAGCGTCCAAGACCCCGGTCCGACATATTCGTAACCGTTAAAGTCAAAACCAGGATCAGGGATGACTGAGCAGGACGCTCTTGCACGGCCGCTCACGAAGAACAGCGTCCAAGACCCCGGTCCGACATATTCGTAACCGTTAAAGTCAAAACCAGGATCAGGGACCCCCCCCCCCCATTGATAAGCAATGGACGCGGATTAGCCTGGCTCGTTGTACAGCTGGATTGGTACAATGGTGGTAGTGTCAATCCTAAGTTGTACAGCTGGATTGGTAACATGGTGATAGCATCAATCCTAAGTTGTACAGCTGGATTGGTACAATGGTGGTAGTCTCAATCCTAAGTTGTACAGCTGGATTGGTAACATGGTGATAGCATCAATCCTAAGTTGTACAGCTGGATTGGTACAATGGTGGTAGTCTCAATCCTAAGTTGTACAGCTGGATTGGTAACTTGGTGATAGCATCAATCCTAAGTTGTACAGCTGGATTGGTACAATGGTGATAGCATCAATCCTAAGTTGTACAGCTGGATTGGTACAATGGTGATAGCATCAATCCTAAGTTGTACAGTTGGATTGGTACACTGGTGTTAGTCCCAATCCTATTTAAAGTGGCTGATTTCAACTCCAAAATTTATTACATCACGCAAGAGCAGTTGTCCCTACTAGCCTTTTTAAAAGTAATTAGTAATTTAATCGCTAACAAATTCACTGAAAAGTCAGTGCTCAAGAGGACATTTCAATTTCCTTTTAAAAGAAAATAATAAAATCTGACGCTATTATTGACGGATAATGCCAAAGAAGTGAAACTATTCAAAGTTC